CATCGATGAGAGAGAAACACTGATCAGCTGCCTCCTGCATGCCCCCAACTGGGGATTGAACCTGCAACCAAGATACGTGCCCTTGACTGGAATCGAACCCGAGACCCTTTAGTCCTCGGGCATGGCTAAGAATATTTAAGATTGGTATAACCAGACCCTTGCCACAGCCAAATAAAATCTTGGCAAAGCACCAGAGAATGCCTGGCTTTGGGCAATGCTACTGTCAGGACCTTGTCCAAAACAAACTTTCTGTTAGTGCCAAGGTAACTAAATGAAGTAACTTGTACTGGGTTATTATTTATAAATCGGTTAAATTGTAGAATACCTTTCAGAGATAGCACATTAAACCTGGGACAGTTGATCTGTGGGCTCTCTTTCTGGAAATAATTGGCTGGCATGGCCAATTTATTTTCTGGTCACCTATAATTTGAGATAATCAGATGTCATCTCTGTATACAGGAATGCCTGTCTTTTTGCTCTGCATGGGGTTGGAGGAGGTTGGGATTGGCATTTAGTACCTCCAGAAGATTATTAGGAAACAAGCTAGAAAGAAATGATCCCAGAACATATTCCTCTTTGTACTTGTCTGGACAGGTTTCACGGTTAGAAGTTAAAACTCCCTGAGGTGGGAGGTGGTTCCCATCGTTCCGAGCTGGTCTAGAGAGGCATCAAGAGTCCAAGTTCTAAGTAGATGCCTAGGCCAGGGTCCGCTCCAGGTCAACAACAGTTGCACATAATCTAATATGCACTAGGGATTGAATGTAATAGTGATTGATTGAGTGAGTGTTCCAGTGGATGGAATAGCTGGGTCTGAAGCTTGCATGCTCCCTAAAGTGTAAGAATTTGAAATTTGCTGAAATATGCACTTGCTTTGCTGACAGTGCAAACCTGGAGCGGGGAAAGAGCCTCTTATTAACGGCCTCAAGCATTTGCGTTTTGTTTTCCATCATGGAAGTGAAAAGAATCTTCTCTGTGTATGTGTATATGAGAAATAGATCCTCCTCAAAAGCCAACTCCTGTTGCTAGGGAAAGAATTTGAAGAAGTTTAAGGCAAAAGACATTTTGGAGGAATTAGA